TCATTGTCCTCATCACTGTGGACCAGTGGTGAGGCAGAGCATCATTGTCCTCATCACTGTGGACCAGTGGTGAGGCAGAGCATCATTGTCCTCATGACTGTGGACCAGTGGTGAGGCAGAGCATCAGCAGGAGTCAGAGAAGGAGACTGATGCAGAGACTGGGGGGTGGGGGGGGACAGGCATAAGATCCAAGTTTCGAAGCACATCCCTTGCAGCACACTGCCTTTAACAAGGCCCCACGTGCTAGTTTCTGTCACTTCCCAGTAGTGCCATCACAGTATGACCCCACCAAAGGGTCAATACATTGATTGGGTCAGAGTCCTTGTGAGCCCATTATTTAAAAAACCTTATAGCTGGTTTTTAAAGATGCTGCTTTCTGCTGATATTTTACTACATGTATGTTTTCCTATTTGTACTCTATTACTATGTTTAAAGAAAGCAACATGAGGAGGCATACCGTATGCTTTCTCATGATATTTCAAAGCAGCATGAGCCAGCTTGCCCTGATGGACTTTACGGGAAACAGTAAAGAAAAGCACTTGAGAAATGCCGTAGGGTAAGTTACGCCATGACTCAAACGCAAGGTCAGGTATTTGCAGCCCAGCTTGCTGTGAGCTCCTTTTGCTTTTAAGTCCCTGATTAGTGCTTCTGCTGTGACTTCTGAGCGATTCTCACCAGCCTCTTGTGTCAGTGATAAAGGGAGTCAGGGCCGAGTTGCTAATGATTTACCCTTGGAGTGGTAGTGGTAGGAAATCTATGGATATAAGCCATGTCAGGGCCACTAAGGTTTCAAGGGTAGTGGTAGGAAATCTATATAATCCATGTCGGGGCCACTAAGGTTTCAGGGGTGCCTGCCTGAATCTGTCTAGGAACTTTAGAATGAGTGACTAGGCGATATATGGCACAAGATTTCAAGGGCCACAAGCCATAGGGACATGGGATGGGCCTCTACAGATAAATACTGCACGTATAGTCCTTTTAAAAGTGTGTGTTCTTGCCATGATCATGCATGGAAAATTTGGGAGTGTGGAATACGGCTTTAAATATGGGAAGTTTTCATGGTGTTGTTTTCTTTCCAGTTCAATGTCCTATTTCATAAAACCTCTTCCCACGGTGCTCCTGCGTGCTTTGTGAAAGGTCTTGGGTTTGGGGCTCAAGGGGTTCACTGAGGTGGACTGGCCTTCTAGCTAAGGGATCTGTTAGCCAAGTCATTAATGCCATAAACAGACAGAGAGCGACATGACCGAGGCTCTGAAGAGAGTTCAGGGCATGTAGGCATGTCACAGAAGTTAACTTTTATTGTAGAATTAAATAGCACATTTTAGAAATTACAAATCCTCTTAAAAATACACTTACATGAAATAAAATGCGAGTTTCTGTGAACTTCATGGAGAAGGACTGTGTGTTCTGGGTTGCTTCCCTTCTAGGCAGGGCCAACATGAGCAGAAGCAGTGAAGAGAGCGTGTATCCAGTCAGAGCTCAGAGTCTGCCACTGACAGTGTGTCTGTCCTCTTGTCCCCTCGCAGGACTCATTTCGTTGGAGGACAGAAGCAAGCACTACCTTCAGTGATGAGGTCATTACAACTTCAGAGCAATTCCAGCCTTCAAGGAAACACGTTCAGGCAAGCAGACCTCTCTAGGCTAGACAGACTTTTGTGTTGTGTTGTATTTGATGGCCACAGTACAGTCAGGAGGAAGTCATCAGGACGACATTGCTGCAGGACTGGACAATCTGGAGGGACTCAAATGAGGATGAGGCAGAGAGGAAGGCTACCCCATGCTGTTGTACATGGACAACTATGACACAGTCCACAGAGCTGCAGCCATCTTTTCTTGCCTCTCGGAGCTTGTGAGGTGGTCCCGCTTTGTTCCAGAAGTCCTTATCCCACGTGTGACATTCTGCAGATCATAAAAACCCAAAGGATCAAGGCGTGAAGAGTTCAAGCCCCAAACAGCACCCTCTAGGGTTCTGGTGGGAGCCCAGCCAGTGCCATCACTAGGATATTCTCCTGGGAGCTCTGACCTGGTTTCCATGGTGCTGGGGTACCAGGCTGTAGTCAAGCGCCTCACTTGGGGAGACACCGTGCTGTCTGCATCAGGAACCTCAGTGTCTACTTGAGACTGCACATTGGTGGAAAGCCTAATCTGGGCTTCCAGTCAGTCCAAACGCAAGCTCACCTGAGTCAGAAACTTCACTTTACACATGATCAGTCAGGTTCCAGTCTGTGCCTTACTTCTCTAACAAGCCTTCGTCTCTCACAGAAGCCCTCTGAGCAGTCAGACATGTAGGCTGGGACCCTCTGAGACCTTCATTCTTCTTCAGTTGGCTAATGAGTGTTGACATTGCCACCCGCCCTCTAGGCACTCCAAGGCAGGCCAGCAGTGGGTGTGCCGACCCCTTACAGCCATACTGGTTCCTGGCCAGAAAATATCCTCTTAACCTGTTAACAAATATACCATCTAACAGAATCAATTTCTAGTCTCCATGAACTCCTGATGTACTACTGTTCTACCCTGAAATAAGCTTCATTAACAGACGACACATCAGTGTCTTCCTCTGGGCTCTGTGAATGAGCATAGTGTGCCATCCATACACATAAGTGAACATATATGACACAGGCTGAAAATTTACACAGATAGATACACACACCACACTCATATATAGAAAAGTACACATGTACACACATACACACGTGTACACACACACACACACACACACACACACACACACACACACACACACAGAGGAGTTCCACCTCTTGGAATGCGCACTTTGATCCCAGAATCTTAGCCTTTCCTGGGTCTCTGTGGCTGTGTCCCTGGCTCTTGTATGTTTTATGGGGCAGAGTTTCTCACTGTTATTGCATTTCCTCTGACTCCAAACTCAACAAAAAAGTCCAGGCTGATGTGGAGTAACGTGCCAGAATCTCATTGATCTGAGGCTGATCTGACACCCTGAGATCTGATCACACTAAGTGTGTTATCATGGACACAACCTGGGAGAAGAGACCACTTCCTAGGCAGGTGAGAACCTTACTTTCTAGGCAAAATTTCAGAATCAAATATGCTTAATTTCCCATCTTCCATGGTGTTCCCCCTTTGCATTCAGAGAGCTGACTGTTATGGTTTCAGTAAGAATGGCCCCCATAGGTCATAGACTTGAGTGCTTGGCCATCTGGGATTGGTACTACTTGAGAAGGAATTGGAGGTGTGGCCTTTTGGAGAAAGTGTGTAACTAGCAGTGGACTTGGAGGTCTCAAAAGCCCATGCCAAGCCCAGCGGCTCCCTTTTCCTGCGGCCTGCAGATCCAGCTGTAGAATTCTCAGCTGTTTCTCCAGCACAATGTCTGCCAGCCTGCTCCCCACAATGATGATAATGGACTCACCCCCTAAAACTGTAAGCAAGCCCCAACTAAATGTTCATTTATGACTTGCTATAAATTTACCTATTTTATATGACATTGATGAAGAACAAAGTAACATTTAATAAGCATTGAATAAGCTGATGGATTCCATTCTTTGTGCTGTTCCTTCTTTCCCCGTGTTCCTGGGGGCGGAGGCCAGGCCTCAAGCATGCTGAACACACACTCTGCCCACGAGCTACACCCAGTCCTGATCCTTCATCCTCTCAACAGCCTGTAAGGTACCAGTATTGGAATCCCCAGATATCAGGAAAAGGGAGCAGGAGGGGTCAGCATCCTCTCAGGTAGAAAGTGACCGGGTGGCAGATCTGAGAATCCGTTTCCAGTGTCCACTGCCTCCTGGACACACGGTCCTCACGGATTTCTAAAAGGAGAGTGCTGAGGCTGAACTCAAGTGGGTCAGAAGGGATGGGAATGATCAGCTCTGTGTTCTGCCTGCAAACATGGCTGTGATTTCTCATAATAGATCATACACAGAAGAGAGGTGTGTCCTGTTCATGGAGATGGAACCCCTCGGTGGGCAGACCGATATTTCTTCCACTCCAAAAGGTGTCAGTGTGAGAACTCCAGTTCTGAAATGAGAAAAAGCAGACTCAAGGTCAGCAGCTCCGCCCCCAGGTCTCCTCCCTGTCTCCATCTTCCTCTTCTCTTTCCCCTTCCTTCCATTTCCTCTCCTCCTCTCTCACCTCTCCTTTCCTAGATCCCTCTCCCTCCATCTCTTTCAGTCTCTCTCCTCTTCTCTCCTCCCATCTCTCCTCTGTATAATTCTTCCTCCCTCCTCTAGTACTTATGGACCTCCTCCTCTTCCTCCTCTTCCTCCTCCTCCTCCTCCTAGTCATCATTGTCATTATTGTCCTCCTCCTAGACCTTGTCCTCTTTGTCCTAATCCTAAACATCCTCATCCTCTTTTTTCTCTTCCTTCCTTCCTTCCTTCCTTCCTTCCTTCCTTCCTTCCTTCCTTCCTTCCTCCCTCCCTCCCTCCCTCCCTCCCTCCCTTCCTCTCTCTCTCTTTCTTTCTTTTTCTTACTCTTCCTCCTCCTCCTCTTCTTCCTCATCCTTCTCCTCCACCCCGCCCCCAGTCTCCCTCCATTTCTGTCTGTCTCCATCTCTCTGAATCCTTTTCTTGAACAATGACCTAACCTGGCAGAGGAAGTCAACAGTAGAAATGAGTAAGAAAAAGAATCAAGCAAAGAATGAGGTCTGTTAAGATCAATCAATGTGAGGAACAAGAGGGGGGAGAGTGCTAACACCAGAGTCCACTAGTCCCTGTGGGACATCTAGGGTACAGAAATTTTTACAAAAAAAAAAAAAAAGCAGGATGTTCATTGCTTTCCCAATAGTAGCTCTGCTGAGGAATTCAGAGTAAATATGACATTGGGAATGAAAAGAGATGACACTCACATACAGTGTCTGGATAAGGAAATTCTATAACCTCTGAGTCTTGAGGTCTCTGCTTGAGGGTTTGTCTTAGAAAACCTGCAGTCGTGTCCCAATATCTTTTAAGAGCAACTTATATTAATCAGAATATGTGCCTTAAAGGAAAGCTATTATAGCAACCAGTTGGGACACTTTGGGGATATTATTGAGTTTTAAAACACTTCTGAGACATCTAGCATTTTGCTCTTGTACCTTCTAGACCTGGATCCCACATACAGTTGATTCTGGAAGCATTCCTTGATAGCAAACATGTGTGTGTAAATTGACGCTGGACAAGGCTGTTCGAGTTGGATGGGTCTGAGAAGACAAAAAAAGCCAAGAATTCCCAGTGAGCCAGCCAGCCATATCTGATATACTCAGGTAGGCAGGCCCAAGGAGACTCAACAACTGGCCCCACCATGATTCCCAGATCATAGGGCGCAGAACTCTGATGCTCAGAACTGTGATGGACAAAAGGGAGTAGTCTGAGCCCACAGGACCCTGTGTCCCCAAACAAGACCAGGCATCCTGGGATAGAAATGCTAAGTCATTGGGATTCCCTGCATGAGCTCCTCTTCCTCTTATTATACCACACGTGGGCAGAAAATTTCTTCTCAAACGTCAGGCCAAGAATAACTGGGAGTTGTGACTATGGACTTTGCTCTCAGCTTGAGTGGATGGAGCAAAATTTCTGGATTTGACTATGAAGTGATTCTAAAGAAACTTATGTGGGGGTTCACTGGCTCAGCAGGCAAGGTCCAACCTCAACTCAGGTGTGCAATGTGAAGCCATCTGGGAGCCACAGGACAAATTGGTATAGAAAAAGACACTTCCTCTGTGCCTCTCCTGGGATAGGCATGCTTTCTTTGTCTTTAGTTCAGATCTCCCGGTCTGCTGGTCTCTGGCCTCTGGGGTGTAGACTTGTGTGTCCCTGTATCCTCAGGTCTCTCCCCTCAGACTGAAACTCACAAAAGGGGCTTCCCTGGTCTGTGCCTTTCAGACATGGACTGCACCAAACTGCTCTAAGTATTCCAGAGCTTCCACCTTGCAGAAATTCCCACCTGTTGAGGGAATGTTTAGGCATATAGACACAGAGTGTCCCCAATAAAGCATCGTTGTTGGGATGGGGCAGTGCCTTGAGACCCTGAACTGCAGGGCGATCAGTGTGCACATGCAGCCTGGAAAAGCTGAAGCCCAAGTCTCCAACTATGTGTGAGGACGGTGCACTAAGCCTAGCAAAGCCACAGTGACAGGGTCTTCAATCTAGCTGAGACCAGTCACCCCTTTCCCTTTCCCTTTCCCTTTCCCAGGTGACCAGGAACTGAACAGCTTACTCCTGCTCCTTCACTGCACTTTGCAAGTGTGTGGATTCCTGACTGCACAGGCTCACAGCTGGGGAAAACATCTGACTCTCTCACCTGCATCTGGAAGTGTAAGGATTCCTGACTGCACAGGCTCACAGCTGGGGAAGGCTGACTGACTCACCTGTGTCAGGAGGTGTCCTGGTCCCTGACTGCACAGGCTCACAGCTGGGGAAGGCTGACTGTCACATCTGTGTCAGGAAGTGTCCTGGTCTCTGACTGCACAGGCTCACAGCTGGGGAAGGCTGACTGTCACATCTGTGTCTAATTGTGACAGGGCATTGCAATTTGAAAATCTTCCTCATTCAAGAGGAAGCTTTGACTCATGAAAGGTAAGACAGGAATCAACCAATCATTTAGAAGCTTCCAAATAGTTCGGCCTGATGATATATACGTGGTGGCAAGATCTCAAGTCAGGCCTGCTCTGGCTAAGAAGTCAGACAGAACAAATGGAAAACAGATTCACTGAGATATTTGATAACTTTCTTTTTTTCTGAGACATTTGTAGGTTTTCTCTTTTAAATACTTTATGTGTGATCTGTGAGTATGTGTTGATGATCTGTGTCTATTTTGAAAATGTGCGTTCATGTGTGAGCAAGAACAGGCAGGTGCTTCAGCACACCTGCGGAGGTGAGCAGACGGCCTCGAGTGCTGTCCTTCCCTGATGTTTTGGTCAAACAGAGTCTCTTCTGTGCTGCTGTGTCTGCCCTGCTGGCTGTGCTGTCAGAAGCCAGGGCTTCTCCTCTCTCCACATCCCCTCACCTTGAGAGAACTTTGAATACAGAGGTGGCCAGTGCGCTTTCTGGAGGTTCTGTCCCAGGTCCTAACGCAGTCACCGCTAGTGCTTCATCCACGGAGTCACCATCTCCCTGGCTACACTTGAGGATTTCCTCTGAGGGTCTACCAAATGCTGAGAACGATCTCGTGCAACGGAAATTCTCTTACCTTCACATCTCTGTTATGTCCAAGAGTCTGGCTTTTGGAGAATAACAGTGCAGCGCCACACACTCCTTACGAAGGGAGATGATTTCAGTAGATATTTACTTGGGACTTTTTAAATCTCTACAGAGCCCATAAAAAGTTCTGACTTTCAACATGTTTGAAGAAATATGATCGGACTTAACCTATGTCAATGGCCATTTTTACAAGACAGGGTGGAAAGATACACATAGTACTCATCACACGAGGTTCTGTCCCCACAGCAGAGTCAGCGGATCACGGAGCAAAAGCCTGAGGACGTGGACAAGGGGACACAGCATTCTCTGTGGTGCTCAGTGCTCCAGACTCCAGACACCGTCCACCGGCACTGCCTCAGCTGACCAGTGAGCTCCAGGCTCACTCCTGTGTGGCTGACCCAGACGCAATGGGGACCACTTCTACACCAGTCTTTTCCAAGTCAGGGACCTGTGGTGACTAACCTGGCCTTGTCAGCATCACGCTTTCCCCGGGCTGAGTGGCTGATGCCGATGTGCTGGGCGCTAACTCATCAGAGGCTTCCTCTGGGCCACACCAGCGCTGGCTTGAAAAAGTGTGGTTTGTGCTGAAGAGGCCTCAGCCTTTGTAGATGACCATGCTGCACCAGGGTCCACCTCCCCACTGTTTTCTATTCCACCAATAATTGGCCCCATAGGAACATAGTCTCCCTTGGTAAACTATTTAGATGGTTTTTGTAGGTCCTTGATTTTTTTTCCCAGAAGGCAACAGTCTGTAACACTTCCTCTTCCTTTTTCTTCTATTAAAGGGAAATGGATATAGGCCACTACTTCACATCTCAGAAGAAAAAGCTTTGTCAGCATGGAGATGTCCAGAATGTAGTTCTATTCGGGTCTGACTTGCTAGCACAGAAACCATGCTTGCCTCAGTACCCGAGCCATGGAACAATGCCACCCCTCACTTCCTGGATCGCTAGCTGTCTTCAGTAACAGATAAATCTCAATCTTCTCAGGACT